CTCCTCCTCCTCCTCCTCCTCCTCTTCTCGACCCCGTCCTCCGCCTTTTCTCGACCCCCGGCCTCCACTGGCAGAGGTGTCAACCGCTCGGCCAGAGCGTGCTCTTCTCATCACGTCGTGCGTCCTCGTGATCTCTCGGCGGCGAGCGAAGGGGGGAAATGAGAAGGAGAAGGCCTTCTAAGAAGGCGGCGGGACTTCTCAGAAGCCCTCGCGCCTTCTCAGAAGTTGTTGTCTGTCTTTTGGGAAGGCTTACAACACTTCTCAGAAGGCAGGGGGACTTCCGAGCCTTCTGAGAAGGCCCGCCTATTCTCACTCCCCCCCGGGCGCGCCGCCGAATCTCACCATACGCTGGGTCTGAAGAGTTCCACAGGGCGTGCCATCTGCCAACTTTCCTGTCAATGAAAATCAACCGGGTGTACCAGCTTCTGATCTGCAGTATGATGTCCATCCGCCCTGGGGCCCAATCTTTGGTCGAGCGATGTTCTGAACACAACGGCTCGGCTGCTACGATCCTTGCTCGAAGCCTCTGCAAGACGCGGAGCCCGCTCTGTTCTGCGCCCTCCTGGCCATCTTGAAAGCAACCTCTTCGAACAACTCCAACCGATCAAGGCCCAGGTCCTGGCGCCGACGCGCCGAGCTGAGGGAGGCCTCCCATGAACATCCTGCTCTACCTGCGAAGCAGCTGCCAGCTCCATCTAAGTGCTGTTCCAGAAGCTACTGAGCTGCGCGAGCCACGTGCACCATCTGTAGAGCTCCTAAGCCCCGTCTGCGGTGCCGGCAGGCCTGCTTGATTACAGAGTATATTCTGCACCACCAGGCCACCACCCCGTCACGCAACGGTTGCTCCCGTGCGTGGGACGCTTGGTTGACTGAAGCGATCTCTAGCCTGCACCCTTGGCCTCTGGACTTCGTGGGCTGGTTAGGGCCATGATGCTCCGAGACGGCCCTCTCCAGAGTATCCGACCATTTTGCGAACCTGCTGGGAATAGGTGATATGAACCTCCCTCTTGCTGAGAAAGCGAGAGGCTGCCTGGGGGAGGAGGGGAGGAGAAGGAGGGGATGATGATTGTCGTGATTAACGTCGACGCTGTATTCTGCTGTGCTGCGCTCGTCCGTCGAGCATGATGGCGCCAGCCCGTGCCGGCGAGCGTGTCTGCCGCGCTCTCTGCACAAAAGAGGGGGCCCCCTCCTCGATCCCACACAGCCGCGGAGGCGGCGGCAAGAGAGAGAGAGGAAGGAGAGGTTGACTCAAAACTTCGCTCGAGTCGCCTCGGCTCGACATGAGCCTAAAATCCTTCTCAACCGTTCCGACCGAACTGGATCAAAAGAGGGTCCCTGCACAGTACAAATATGGAAAAGGAATGATGAGAATGAGCCCGACACTATCCTCAAGATAGGTCGAGAAAAGCTAAAGCGTCGGCGGCCTCGGCTTCAGCGTCCGTAGGCGGCTGCGGCTTGTCCTGAGCGAGCTTGTTGGCTCGCTGTCGTTTCCTGGCTGACATGAAATCCTCGTCGTACCTGATGATCCAGGTGCGCCGTGCAAGCCACAGAGCCAGAGGCTTCCTTGCCTCGGGGCTGTCCTTCGTGAGGCCGTCGGTGAGGTTGAGGTCCGAGGGTACCCAGACCTGGTGCTGGTTCTTCTCGGGCCCGCAGTTCGCCTTCACATGCAAAACCTCCACGCCGGTCCTCGCGTCGCTCAGGCCTATGCCGAAGCTCTCCTTGTTGTGAACTGAGTCATAAACTCCCCGACTGTCGATCACCAGCACCGAAGTCATGGATTGCGCCACCTCCTCCTGAGTGTGCGCGGTGACTGGAACTCCGTGCATGACTGACCACAGCATGCGCATCAGGTACGCGGCGTTCTCTCCGTCGTACAGAGCCTGGCCCTCGCAGCCGTTGGTGCCGATGCCGGTGCGCTTGAGCTTGTACGATCTCCAGTCGGCGATAGATACTGCACATTCCTTCTGCTTGAGAATCTCGGCCGTGGTGAACGCCACGATGTAGCCCCCTCGTTGGAGTAGCCTGCTTGCGTCGACCCACGTCACAATCACTAGGTCGTCCCACTTCAGCTTGCCGCCGCAGTTGCTATTGAAGTTGTGGAACACCAATGAGTCACGAGCGGTCCGCTTCACATCGCGTATGAGGGCGTTCGTGTCCTTCAGGTCCCCGAACGTCGCCTCGTTCACCCGCTGAGCCAACAGTGACACCCGACATGAGAACTGTGGTGCTGTCTGTGTCGCTCTCCACTGGCATTTCATCAGGCCTGCCCTGAACTGGGTGACGTCCTCCGGTTTGAGCTTGTCATCCTTCGAGAGATACTTGCCGGACTCAACCCTGATCTCGAGGAGCTGGTGACAGAACTCCTCCTGGCTGGCATGGATCTTGCCCGACGGCTCCTGGGTGATCCACATGCCTGCCCACATGCACGGCGTGCTTCGCCATGGAGACCACCGCAGCATCTCCTTCAGCATGTTCTTCATGTCGAGGTAGAACTTGTTGTCGCTGTCGCCTGCGATGCCAAAGTCGTCCACGTGCGAGCCGATGACCCCGCACACGGTGCCGTCCTGGTCCTGAATGATCCAGATGCACGGCTCGATGAGGACGCTCTTGCCTCCTGCTTCGTGGATCTTGTGGTCCACATACTTCCAGAAAACCCACGGCGCATTCGTGATCCCGTAGATCGCTGCCAGGACTCGCATGGACTCCTCCTCGTTGATCTGCAAGGCCTGCCGAAGCTCCTTCACTCCCTTCGTGTAGAGCTTCCTCCACTCCTCAGTGTGCCCGGCCTGCAGGAAGGCGGACTTCGCGTCGGCTAGCTCGAAGGTCCAGCCGTGGAAAGCAGCCATCTGGAGGAGTGCAAGCTTCCCTTTTCTTGAAATGGTTGGTGACGCCGTAGGAAGCACCCGATCTCCGAACTTGTCGCGACTGACAAGGTCCGGATGTGAGAAGCCCAACAGAATGATACGGGCCTTCGCCTTGAACTTCCCGTCCGGCGTGCTCACGGGGTGTGGGTCCGACTTGTCCGGTGGTTCAGGTGGCGTCAGAGGCTTCCAGGTCAGTAGCCACCTCATCTTGATCAGCTTGTCCGCTGGAATATCTTTTCCATGATTGTAGTCAGCGTAAGCAGATGCAGCCCGGACTGTCGGTACTTCCAGATGTTCCGCCAGCTCCCGTGCCATTGCCTCTTGGAACAGCGGCTTCTCCTCGGGGCTCAGGCGGCCAAACGAAACCTCCACGCCCTTCTTGACCGTGTTGTTGGCCACGCGGTTCAGCTGCTTCTCCAGGTACGCGCTCGCATCGAAGCAGAACTCCTCAAGGTCCGCCTCGATCTCGATCTTCATCAGGTCCATCTCGGCCTCGTTATTCGGATCCTGCACGAAGTTGATAATGTCGGTCTCGCTGGCTTCCACATGGTCGCTCGCCGCCTTGAAGAGGGCAGCGTGAGCAACTTCAGCTGAGGCTCTTGATGAAGATGATCTCCCAAAACGCGGTTGGAAAGCTTCAGTCGGTACAGGTGGCCACGACACAGTCGGTTTCTTGCCTCTCAATCTTGTTCGCTTAATCTGTGGTGGCTCTGGTGCTGAGTTGTCCTCGTCTACCTCCTGGTCGTCATCTGCCTCCGTGACGTCGTGGGGTTCCACGGCCACATCGGGATTCTCGATCACCCTCGGCATGCCTTCAAGAGGTTGACGTGGTAGCATCCTCATGTCATCTGCCGTTGGGTAAGGCTCCCCGGCTATGTCGTCAAAATCCTGGAGGTGCCTCCAGACATCCTCGAGCGGACTGTTGAGGATGTCGTCCTTCTTCAGGTTGATCTGGACGATCTCCGACTGCGTGGCTGGCCGCAGTTGCTCAGCTGCGCAGCGCCAGCATCGGTTGCCCATGATGACCCAGATCACACCGTCCTTGTTGCCTGTCTGGACCGCTGGCTCGGAGAACAAGACCCTGCCCGGTCCGATGAACAAGCCGTCCGTGAAGAAATCCTGTCCGGAAAGCTTTCGCTTCCCTGTCGCAGCGTACGACCGCCAGACACAGACCCAGTCGCCTCGTTTATATTCATGTCGAGGTCGTGGGGCTGAGTTCTTCAGCTCTGAGATCTTCCTGGACGCCTTCTCCTTAAGGTAAGTCGCCTCTGCGTCCGCTCGTACCCGCTCGATCTCGAAGAAGTCGGACTTCAACTTGCCAGTAGCTGCGTTATGCGCCAAGATAGGGTCCTCGGTGGGAGAGAACCCGAAAGCCCACTGCATCGGCGTGTAGCCCTTGATGTTGTCCATGTTGTTGGCCGCCGCAATCGAGATGTAAAACACGGTCTCGGGACTCAGCTTGGGGCATTGTAGGCGAAGCTTCCTCATTACCTGCTTGACGGTCGAGATGCGGCGCTCGATGTCGCCAGCCATCCAATGTGCTCCCCCTGGTTTCGCTGAGACGCCGATGCCGGCCAACTGGCAGTTGTCTTTAAACTCGCCACCCACAAAAGAGGTCTGAGGATCGACGAAAACCCACCTTGGCTTGGGATAGCGTTGAAGGTAGGCTCTGGCAAACGTCGTGAACAGCGTAGCTGACGAATCTGTGCCCTTATCCTTGAGGCCGATCTTCGCAGTGATGTCCCCGCACATCAGGCCGGTGGCGACCTCTGCGATGAGGAGAAACCTGGCCTTCACATTCAAGTCCGGGAACGTCAGGTCGGAAACGTCCATGACGGCTGCCTGCCAAGGTGCCATGGGGATGTCGAGGCTCGCCTTGACCTTGTGGGTAACGCCGTGCTTGACTAAGTCGCATGCCTCGCAGCGAAGGTTGATCGCTTCTTCGATGATCCAGCGTGGACACTGTCGCTTCTTGCACCAGTAAGCCAAGTGCTCGTTACCTGGATGCCCTGCAGCCTTGTGTATCTTGCTCAACATTGCTCGAACCTGTTCCCTTTCGAGATCCGTGGGCTCAGCGACGTAGATGCTCCCGGTGTCCCGCTCCATCAGGTAGGCATTCTCGAGGTCGAGGACAGCAGGGTTCTCCAGGGCCATGTTGAGGTCGATTGGGGTCCGGAGTTGAGCATGCCATAGCCGGGCGATTGCCTTGCACATCGCCTGCGGGTAGTAGGCCGTGGCTGCAGTGTGCAGCTTCCCGCTGATGACTCGGTGACCGTGTGAGTGGTCACACACGGTCGCGACCTTGGAGAACTCCGGGTCGGTGGTCATGATCCTCCAGCCCTTCTCGACGAGCTCGTTAGTGTTGTAGTCCCTGAGGCCGTACATGCACCCGTCGATCCGATCTTCGAAGACGTGTCGTCCCCGACGCCTCAATTCCATACGAAGAAAATTGAGCTCGGGAATCTTCCAGCCTTGACACCTGTGAGGCCACTCGAAGTAGACCTCTCCTCCGTTGTCAACAATCTTTAGCATCAGGAGAACTCCATACTTCACACGTCGTCGGTCACGAAGTCGGTCTTTCTCTAGGCGTGCACGTGCCTCTGGGGTCTTGTAGTTGAAGTTCGTAAGCGAAGTCCATAGCGTGCATGGTAGCGATATCCAAGCCCGCTTCGGCATCACCTCGTCCAGCTTCTTGCTAGCGGCCTCGAACCCCGCCTTCGTGCTGAGGTTGTAACCGTTCTCGATGCTGATCCGCTCCATGCTGAGGCCGATGTTGGTGCACTCGTCGGTCAGCATGCTGTTGGGATGGCAGCAGATCTCCACCGCCTCGGTGATCGTACCCACGGTCATGGCCAAAGCCAGTCCTGCGAGTAGTGACTTCCGACGTCCGGCCGCCAGAAGCTGCCTCGGCACCCGGCTCAGACTGGCCCGGGTACTGGTTCCGCCATCTGGGCCTTGCGCCTGGGATTCGCTGCCCCCAACATCTCCAGCAGCGCGTCCGGCGCGTGGCGGATCTCGGTCCCGGGAAGCCTCCGAAGAGAGGTGGCGATGTTGATCATCGCAGTCACTTGCTCGTGATTGGCCGTCTCCCACAGGTTGCAGTGCCGCACCAACTCCAGGCCGGACTCCACCAACTTCGGATGCTGCATGCTGAGGTTCGTCATCGGCGCCTTCGCCGTCGGGACGTAGAGCAACCTCAGCCCGCACCGATAGCATGTCCTGGTCTGGCCCCACTGGTTGTTGACCGTGAAGTACTTGCGATGCGTCTTGCCGCACGGTCCCCGTGTGGTCCTCGGGTCGCGCGGGTCCACCTGCAGTGCGAACGCCGGGTCCAGCTCCATCTGCTTCTCCTTCTTGCGACCCTGGTGCGTGTTGCCCGGATCTCTCTCCTTGACCTTGCCCTCCGAGGTGACATACTCCATCTTCTGACCATTGAAGACGAACTCCCGCTTGACCTGGGTCGTAGGTCCGGAGCTCGCTGCCGCCGAAGGTGACTTTACCTCCGTGCCCTCCTCCTTCTTGTCGGCATCTATGTCGACAGGTACCCATTCGTCCTTGCCCTCCATGGAAACGCGCTGGCTGAAGCGCCGGCTTGCGGATTGCCGAAAATCGCTCTGAGCGAGTTCCAGAGCCAAAAGACGGCGGAGGATGGGATGACCATGATGGAGCTGCTCTTCCTGTTATGGTTGATGGAGGTGATGTTGCTGTTATCAATGACGGTGTTGTCGTAAGAGCCGTATATACTGATGATGGTGTCGTTCTCATCTGAGATGATGCTGATGATGTCGTTCTTGTTTGAGATGGTGCTGATAAAGTCGTTCTTGTCCGAGATGATGCTGATGATGTCGTTCTTGTCTGAGATGATGCTAATGGTGGTGATGTGGTCTTTGTCATCGACCATCTCTGAAACGCCCTTGCAAGACCCTCGGTGTTTTCCGCGGTCGGGTTTAAAATCTCGGAAACGTGCTTCACCAGGTCGAGGATGCAATGGCCCTTGACTGGAGTCTTGCGAAGCTGCACCAGTTGACCCCTGATCACAGCCTCCCCGGTTCGGAAATTCACGATTGCCGGCCACGACTCCAGAGCGGTCATTCCCAACAGAACGAGAGGCACGCCAGGACTAAGAGCGAAGATGCCCAGAACGAAGCCCGGCTCGAACTCGACCGAAACCTTATACAGTGCTCTGCCCCACTTATTATCTCCAAAACGAAACCACGGTCTTTCATTTTTGTTGATCTCGATCCTGGCCTGCGGGTTCGCAGCCGCAACGGCGGCAACCAGGGCCTGGACTGCGCGCTCGCCTCCGGCGGACGCGGAAGCCCCGCAATCAACCATGGCCTCAGAGGGGGCGAGGCCGCTGTCGTTCAGCTCCGCCTGGTACAGACCCTGGAGCTCGTCAAACCCGTGGGTGATCGTGTGAAACTCCAGGTAGTTCGCATTCTTGCCCTTCTGGTCGTGGTCCCTGTCGCGGTACTTGCTGCCCTTGCCGCTCTTGCCGCCCTTGCTGCCCTTCGGGCCTCGACCCGTGAACGGCGGTCTCGAGGGCTGCTGATGTGGCCACGACGGGGGAAGGCGGCTCTTCCCTCCTGGACTCGATGATGGCTTGCCAAATCCTCGATCTTTGTGAGCGGCGGCCACTGCTTGCCTGGCTTGAACTAGAGTGCGTGAAGCCTCTGCCGCCATCGCCTGGGCCGCCTCGAGCTCCTCATTGAGATGGTTGAGATCCTCATCCATGGCCTCGGACCCTTCTGGCTCTGAGGCTAGCTGCGGCTCCTCCACGACGTCGTAGTCGTCCTCGTCCTCGTGGTGGTCGTATCCGTCGTTCTCCCACGCCTGAACTGCCGCTGCGTAGCCGTCGTACCAGTCAGGTCCGTGTACGTCGTCAAACTCTGCAACGAGGGCCGACTGAGGGCTCGACTCCGGGCCGTACCGAGGCATAGCCCTCGGTCCGAAGTCCCGCTGCACCAGCGCCTTGTCCTCCCATCTCTCCTTCAAAGCCTTGGAGACTGCATCGAAATCCAAGCGGTTCTGCGTGACCACGCGTACGTCCTGCTTCTCCTTCTCGGTGAAATCCATCGCCTCGAGCAGGAAGAAACCGCGGAGGACCTTCAGGACTCCAGAAGCGTGGCCGAAGAATGTGGAGCCCACTGCCATTGCTTCCGAAACCTTGAGCTTGCTCGCCATGGATTCTTGTCGGTGAAATCGATCCGTTCGAGAGCCCTGCGAGCGAGACGTAATCGACTGTCGTTCATACTCATCTGCTTCTTCTGCTTCCTCGGCAGGGGCGTCATCTGCTGCCGAGGGCGTCGGCGCGTCGGGGCTGGGTTCCCAGTGGTCCCAGCACCTCTGGCAGTACCATTGTCCACGTCCGGCTGCGCCACGGTCTCTGTCGAAGTAGCCGTAGTACTCCTGGCACTGCTTGTACTTGTCATTGTCGCCCATCTCCTCCAAGAGGCGCTCCAGCGCCTGGACCATCTCTGAGTAGCAGTCCTGCTCCCGGATCAGGAGCGCGCCCACTGTCTCGCCTTTGCGCCGCTTGAAGTCCTTGTAGTAGTGCTTAATCTTGTGGGCCGCGTCCGGGATAGGTAGCTTTCCCAGTGGACTGTTCCTCAGGTCGTCTAGGAGGAGGAGGTGGCCGTTCGGATTCTCATATCTATCTGGATCCAGGGTGGTCGCAAACGTCCGTATGGCTATCGTCTTACTCTGTAGCATGCGACCGATGATCCTGTTCGCCGCTAGGTCCCTGTCCTGCCGCTTCAGCGTGCGGGGGAACCACTTCACTGCCGTCTCGAAGTGTCGCCAACGTCCTGGGTTGCCGTCCCATTCAGGGATGGCATCCTTTGCCTTCTTGTCGTCTCGCTCCATGGTGTTCTGGTCCCTTGGGGAGCGCCAGAACTGGTCCGTGGATCAAGCTCCGCAATACCAATGTCGTGATTAACGTCGACGCTGTATTCTGCTGTGCTGCGCTCGTCCGTCGAGCATGATGGCGCCAGCCCGTGCCGGCGAGCGTGTCTGCCGCGCTCTCTGCACAAAAGAGGGGGCCCCCTCCTCGATCCCACACAGCCGCGGAGGCGGCGGCAAGAGAGAGAGAGGAAGGAGAGGTTGACTCAAAACTTCGCTCGAGTCGCCTCGGCTCGACAATGATGATGATGATGATGAGGAGGAGGAGGAGGAGGATCACCAAGCGCGCTATAGGCTTAAAAGGATACCTCAAGCCATCTTTGAGGATGAGGCAGGCATCAACGAAAGGCTGGAGACGGTGCGACTGCGAGAAATCTATAATCTCATAGTTGGCCGACCGCACGCCACATCCTCAACGTCGGAGGTACTGCAGAAAGCTATCGGCCACCTGCTGACACCAGTGGGGTTCCATGTGCCCGCTTTTCTTGCCAGCGGCTGTGAAGGTCGTTTTCCACCCCACTCATAGCTTTCGGCCATACCTCGGGATAGGATGCCAAATCCTTCGACGGGGATTTGGGAAGTCACCCCCGCTCTGATCGAGCGGTTTGGGGCTCCACTGTCGAGGAATACTCCCTCGGGCTCTGCACCGAAATTCGTGACATTTTCGTCGCGTCAGAACCCTCCCTATAAGCTCTCTCATAGGCCTCTACAATGGTTCATTTCCACTGAGGGAACTGCCTTGTTGGGAGACAACCGTTTGAAGACCCTGATGCATACCAGAAAATCGTTTACGGGATTCCAGCGCCACGGATCAATCTGACAGTTGCGTCTTGACCATCCTGAATCGTGCCAGAACGCCATTCCTGGGACCTCAATGCCGCGAATCCAAGTTACTGTTGCGCCCTCATAATCCGGATTCCTTCAAAACACCATGTCTGGTACGCTGATCATGGGAAAGTCATGTCTGGTACGCTGTTGCATTTTTACCTACCAGCGAAGACTGATAGGTTTCTAGTGGTGTCAAAAGAGAGCATCTGATGACTCAGAAGGGAGGTCTGGGCGGCATCCGGACAGCGAGGGCCGGGCTCAGGGCCGGGCTCGCTTTAAGCAAACAGTCGCACACTTCGTGCTCTTCGACCTACCAGAACTCCATTCCCGGGCCACATTTTGAATGCCCGAAGCCAACTGTAGGCCACTTCGTGCTCTTACGACTTCCCAGAGCTCCATTCCCGGGCCACATTTTGGATGTTCGGAGCCAACTGTAGGCCACTTCGTGCTCTTCGACTTCCCAGAATTCCATTCCCGGGCCACATTTTGGATGCTCGGAGCCAACTGTAGGCCACTTCGTGCTCTACGACTTCCCAGAACTCCATTCCCGGGCCACATTTTGGATGCTCGGAGCCAACTGTAGGGTACTTCGTGGTCTTCGAGTTCCCAGAACTCCATTCCTGGGCATGCTTTTGAATGCCCGGAGCCAACTGTAGGCCACTTCGTGGTCTTCGAGTTCCCAGAACTCCATTCCCGGGCATGATTTTGAATGCCCGGAGCCAACTGTAGGCCACTTCGTGGTCTTCGAGTTCCCAGAACTCCATTCCTGGGCATGATTTTGAATGCCCGGAGCCAACTGTAGGCCACTTCGTGTTCTTCGAGTTCCCAGAACTCCATTCCCGGGCCACATTTTGAATGCTGAGGCAGATGCTGAGGCTGAGGCAGGCTGAGGCTGAGGCAGGCTGAGGCTGAGGCCGAGGCTGAAGGCAGACTGAGGCTGAGGCTGAAGCAGGCTGAGGCTGAGGCTGAGGCAGGCTGAGGCTGAGGCTGCAGGCTGATGCTGAGGCAGGCTGAGGCTGAGGCTCAGGCTGATGCAGGCTGAGGCTGAGGCAGGCTGAGGCTGAGGCCGAGGCTGAAGGCAGACTGAGGCTGAGGCTGCAGGCTGAGGCTGAGGCAGGCTGAGGCTGAGGCTGAGGCAGGCTGATGCTGAGGCAGGCTGAGGCTGAGGCTGAGGCTGATGCAGGCTGAGGCTGAGGCAGGCTGAGGCTGAGGCCGAGGCTGAAGGCAGACTGAGGCTGAGGCTGAAGCAGGCTGAGGCTGAGGCTGAGGCAGGCTGAGGCTGAGGCTGAGGCTGAGGCTGAGGCTGAGGCAGGCTGAGGCTGAGGCTGAGGCTGAGGCCGAGGCTGAAGGCAGACTGGCTGAGGCTGGCTGAGGCAGGCTGATGCTGAGGCAGGCTGAGGCTGAGGCTGAGGCTGATGCAGGCTGAGGCTGAGGCAGGCTGAGGCTGAGGCCGAGGCTGAAGGCAGACTGAGGCTGAGGCTGAAGCAGGCTGAGGCTGAGGCTGAGGCAGGCTGAGGCTAAGGCTGAGGCAGGCTGAGGCTGAGGCTGTGACTGCGACTGCCGTTGCCACTGCGCCTTTCATCGCGAATGCGACTGCGACTGCGAGAACAGCAGAATTCTACAACTGGATTCTCATGTGAATCTTAAGGGGAATGCTTCCAGATATGCTCCTACACATCGCTGTTAGGTTGCTTTGCCGGGATCATTTCTTACGAATGTGTGCGGTGCCAAGGCGGTAACCATGTTTTGAAAAGGTGCAGCCCTCAATCCATGAAACTCTTACAACTGATTGAAATGAATGTGCGCGGCGCTACTGCGAGAGCCACATTTTGAAAGCCACCCGCCCTCAATGTGAGAAGTTCTTGTCAATGTTTAAGCTTCAGGGTCATAGATGTTAGTCCCAGACGAAACGCCCGGACCGCCCTAAAGACTGGTCCGGGGTGCGACAGGGAAAAGTTAGTTACAAGGAGAAGGAATGGAGGAGGAGGAGGAGGAGGAGGAGGAGGAGGAGGAGGAGGAGGAGGAGGAGGAGGAGGAGGAGGAAGGTGAAGAGGAGGACTGGGAGGAGGGGGGAGGAGAACAGAGTCAGCTGTGGCGCCTGCGCCGCGGGTGCCCAGGACGACTCGGGCAAACGGAGCTTCAAGTTCTTCCTGGCCTACATTGGGGTGCAGGTTCTGCATGGCCTCGACGATGGTAATGAGGGGGGGGGGGCTGGTAGAACCCCCACCCTGCCACGTCGATTAGCGAATCCTCCCATGCGGCCCGCTTGCGCTTCTCGAGAGGGCGGTGCAGCCGCCATGTTGGGGGGGGGGGCCTGCGCCCGCGGGGTCGGGCCCGCAGGCCGTTTTCATTCAGAGGGGCGTTTGCCAGAGGGTGCTGGTCCTGCCGACCCCCGGTGCTGGTCTTCCTGAGGTCCCGAGGGTTGTCCGTGTAAGCCGGCGCTCTGGGGCCTTGCCCCTTCCTGGCCTTGACGTGAGGCCCCTCCTTCTGCCCCCCTCCTTTTGTTAATTGGAGCTGTGCGCGGCCCGCTGAGCTTCGACCGGGAGATGTGCGCCCTCGCCCCGCGGATCGACAAGTGGAAACCGCCAGGGCGAGTGGTGTTGGGCAATTTTGCAGCGAATCTGGTGGCCGGCAGGAGCGGCAACCGTGATCGCATGCAGACGGTGCGATCTTTCTCGGACGGAGTAACTTATGGCGAGCCGAGCACAAGGGATATCCCTTTCCGTTTGGCCCAGCGCCTCTTCCGCAGCTTCTAGGAAGGGAGGCAGAAGGGGGAGGGGAACTTGTCGCAAGCCGGAAAGCGCAACACACATGAAGGGCGTGAGGAAGGCTTCGATAGATGAATTCCATGTCGCGGAGAGGGAGGCTGGATGTCTGTACCCTGCAAAGCCACCCCCCCTCCTCCCCCCTTGGGGCTGATGAGTAGACCCCGCGGGGCGCGAAACATTTTTTCGTAATCACGCGCGCCGGGAGGTCGTCGCTGGCGCCGCCGAGGGGGTCGAGTACCCCCCTGCATGACAGCCTCAAAACGATTTCCTTTCGTATATGAGTAGTTTCAGGGGTCGTAAACATCCGAGGCGAATGCGTTTCCCCCTCTCAGGCGTCGTCGTCGTCGCCATCGTCGTCGTCGCCGCCGTCGTCGTCATCGTCGTCGTCGTCGTCGTCGTCGTCGGTCGTCGTCGTCGTCGTCGTCGTCGTCTTCGTCGTCGTCTTCGTCGTCGTCGTTGTCGTCTCCGTCGTCGTCGTCGTTCTCGTCGTTGTCGTCGTCGTCGTCGTCGTCGACTGCAGCGGGCCTGCGCAGCCCCCGCCCACAGGGCATCCGCAGTGCGTCGTCGTCGTCGTTGTTGCGTCGTCGTCGTCGCCGCCGTCGTCGTCGTCGTCGTCGTCGTCGTCGTCGTCGTCGTCGTCGTCGTCGTCGTCGTCGGTCGTCGGTCGTCGGTCGTCGGTCGTCGGTCTTCGGTAGTCGTCGTCGTCGTCGTCGTTTCTCGTCGTCGTTTCTCGTCGTCGTCGTCGTCGTCGTCGTCGTCGTCGTCGTCGACTACAGCGTGCCTGCGCAGTTCCCCCCATAGGGCATCCGCAGTGCGTCGTCGTCGTCGCCGCCGTCGCCGTCTGCTGTCCGCCGTCCGTCGTCCTCGTCGTCGTCCTCGTCCTTGTCCTCGTTCTCGTCCTCCTCGTCCTCGTCCTCACCCTCGTCCTTGTTTTTCGTCCTCGTCTTCGTCGTCGTCGTCGTCGTCATCGTCGTCGTCGTCGTCGTCTTCGTCGCCGTCGTCGGCGACCGCAGAGACCACGGCAGAGGGGGGGAGGATTGCCCGCCGTACTCGCGTCGGACGAAAGGCTGGGGAAGGAAAGGAGGTGTTGCGAAACCTGCTGCGCGCAGCTGGTTTCGGTCGCCCCGCCGAAGGGGCCAGTCCTCGATGCATGGCCGCTTTTGGCGCGCCAGGAAGCGTTCGGAAAATCAGCAGTGTGAGCTGTTGGGCAAATCACTTGTTGGCCACGCCCCCCTTTCGTCCAGCCCGCCTTCCTCGCGGGCCTAAGATGCAGCTGGCGCCCCCATGGCTGCGGCCAGGGCAAAGGAAGCGCATCGGTTCCACAGAAAGGAGCACGGAAATTGCGGGGGCGAGCGCCGACAACAATTCTTCTTCATTTCAAACCTGTGCCGCTCTTGCTCACGGTCCCTGCGCCTGCCGCCTTTGCCTCCCGCCCCCGTCCTCTCCCCCAGTTTGTGTTGTCTGTCGCCTTCCCGCTGGCGGCTGGGCGTCGGCGCTAATCACCGGCGCCGCCGCCGTTGATTTTCAATTTGGCGGGCGCCACCCAGCGATTCGCCCGAGCAGGGAAACCATTGAAAAAAACGCGCGCCCCCACGGATTTGTTAACCACAAGCTGACGTTGCATGTGGGTTCAAGGTGTAAAAGGGCGTGGCGAAGTCCAGTTCTAGTGTTGCAATTGCTGTCGCAATAGAAGTAGGGTCCATCGATTGCCACTTGTGGTCTTGGGTTCCGGGAACTTTCGCACGTCCAGACCTTACTGCCGTCTTGCCTTCTTGTTTCAGTTTGTGAAAGCGTTTGACTTGTAGGGCCTTGCGTTCTAGAATCTGGAAGCTTCACTTCGGGCCTGAAGGTATTGGGGGGGGTGGTTGGCGCTCTCCCTGAGGATTTTCGGGTTTCGGATGGGGTTCAGGTGCTCGTGGCTTGAAGGTTTCCAGGTCTTTTCGTTTCAGAGTCTCACGGTCTTGGTACACATGTTACCCTCGCGTAGGCCAGGGCCCCAAAGGATCAGAGGCACAGGAGCAGCCCTGAGATCCGACGACGCAAACAAGAGTGGAACACCACGGGAAATCACGCCCGGAGTCCTCGGCTCCATTCTTCCGCGGCATCTGCCGAGCCAGATGGATCCGTCGGGGCCCCGGGGCCCCTGCGCTTGGAGTGAACACGCACGCCCTGAATTTGAGGGGCGAGCCCTCCCCCCTGCTTCTCTTCTCTTTCCTGCCGCGTCCCGTCTTCCTGCAAAACGGCAGCAGGCGGATTTCCGAGCAGTCGAGCTGTGGGGTGGGGCGTGCCGCGAGGCACCCCGCCCACGCGTGCCCGCCCGAGCCCTGTGCGAGGCCAGGTTCCGCCAGGCGGTGGCTGTGGCAGCGCCCCCCTCCCCCAGAAGACTCATCCTGCGGCCCGCTCCGGCCGCCCGAGGCCCCGGCCGCCCGCGCCCTGTCTCCCCAATTAGGGCTACCCGCGTCCCGTTTAGCTCTTGACCGGAAGGGGCCCGCTCCCGACCCGCAGACCAAAAAAGTTTGGACGTCGTCCGCCTCTCCCGTCCCCTCCTACTTCTCAGTCCTCGTCACCCCCCCCCGGTCCTCTCGGACCTTCTCGACCTAGCTCTCGTTCTCGTCATCCCGCTCCTCGCCCCCATCCCTGTCACATCCGTGAGGGCTTCGCCCCTGCCGCAGGCCCCCCTGTCTCGGAGAATGGGGCATGCAGGAGCTACGTGAGGCCTGGGCGCCGTCGTGAAGCAGCGTCGGAACTCCAAACCGGGGCCGCTGGAGATACCCAGGTGCCCTGCAAATTTTGGCCCCTTGGGTCCCTCTTGGGGGCGCTCTTGGAGCGCACTTGGGGGCCTCTTGGAAGCCTCTTGGGCCGTCTTGGGACCGTCTTGGGCGTGGTGGAGCACTCTTGTGCCGTCTCGGAGGCCTCTTGTACCGTCTTGGGAGCCTTTTTTGAAGGATTGTGGCTTCGAAAGTGCGAATACGGTTCACACTACGAGAGGGTTGGAGATTTCGGGGACGCGAAGAACGCGTAATGTGGCCTCGGGAACGCAACTATTGCGAACACAGCATTGTTTGCGAGTGTTTATGGCCTCGGGGGCGCGAATTTGGAATAATTTACCAAGGATTATGGGCTCGGGGGCGCGAATTTGCGTAACTTGCAACGGATTATTGCTTCGGGCTGCGAATCACATGTAGTTTTACGTGTCCCAGGACCCCCCCAAAATTCTGAGACCCCCCCCCCCAGGTGGTGGTAATCAGGGCTCTTTTCGGCTTCCTTCCTCGCGCGGACTTCAAAATTCATAGTAGGATGCAGAAAGCAGGACTATAACATTGGAGATTGTAAGTTCGAGCCGGTGCAGGCGGATGACGGGAAGCGCCTCTGGCGTGGACCGTTTTGATAAATTACATATAGTTATCCTTTGCTAGGGGCTCTGGGCCGCACTTGCGAACTCGCTGGCGGATGACGAGAAGCGTGCTCAGACTCGACGAGTCGCGCGATGGACGTTGCTGCAGGCCCGGATGGGGAAATAGTACCAACTGGGGCGAGTCTGAGGGGGGAAGGGCTCGGGTTTGCTCCGAGGTTATGACCAAGCGGGTTCCCAAGAATGGGCGTGAGACATCCTCGCCAAGTCGCGTTTTTGTGGCTCGTGTCTTAAAACGTCTTACGCGCTTAAATGAGCGTTTCGCCAGCTACATCCTCGGAACATGAGGATGTTGAAATCGCTGTTCTAATCTTCGGACCTTCAGGAATGGCCGTTTCGCCTGAGACATCCTCGAACAAATGCGATATGCCAAGAGCTCTTTTCAGGCATCCATTCGGAGCGCTCTCGGATGACCTCCAAGATGCCACAAGAAGCGAAATTATTCAAAGACCCATGGTTTTCAACTCTGTCGTTCAAAGATCAGCGTTTCACTCGAGACATCCCCCAAGCACGCCTTCGAACGGGTACTCGAAACCATCAGATTATAATGGACATGCCGAATCAGTTTAGGGTATGTAGGGTGAAGGTCTGTAGGGTGAGGCTACGAACAGATGAAAGTAACTATTGTGTTTTTTCAACATTCTGGGGATTCGTCTGAACTTGCGCCCAAGATGGCCCAAGATGGCGCCGAGACGGCCCAAGAAAGCTCTTAAAGAACCCCACGACACGCCCAGACAGACCGAGAAGACCCCAGAAGCCTACAAGAGGACCCAAGAGGCCCCCAAGACGTCCTCAACAGGCCCCAAGACAGCCCTTCGCGGCGCCAGGAGCCCCCAGGGTAGCCCGATAGGGTCACCCGGACCCTCTCCTGATTCAACATCCTTCTTCAATTGCCTCTTACTGTCCTCCGTCGTCATCATCGTTGTCGTCGTCGTCGTCGTTGTCGTCATCGTCGTCGTCATCGTCTTCCGCATTCCTCCTCGTACTCGTCCCCGTTCTCTTCGTCCTTGTGCTTCTCTTCCTCCCCGTTGTCCTAATGTTCCTCCTTGCTATCCTCACGTTCTCCTTGTCGTCCTCGCCATCTCCTCCACGTCGCCCTGGCCTTCCCTTTTTTCTTTTCCGCCCAATACGCCCATTCGACTGAAGCGGCGCTTCCCGTTCTTGTCCGATCAGGTTTCGCTCTCGTCATGTGTTTCCTGCTGTTCATCCTTTTCATTGTTTCCTCGTCCTTCTCTTCGCACCTCGGGCTCTTCTTCGTTTTCATCTTCGTCCTTCTTACCCTCCTCATCCTCGTCCTCCTCTTCCTCCCCCATTCTCGACCGCGCCAGTGCCATCGTCTTTGTCTTCTTGTCATCATCTTCGTCCCTGTCGCCGTCCTTCTTCTCGTCCCCCCCTCCTCTTTTGACCCATCCTGCCTGCCTCCCAGATACTGTACCTCGGCTTCTACTTCGCGGCCGCCCAGAACAGCACGCTCAACTACGTGCCGCTGCTGGCAGACTCTGTGATGCTAACGCTTCACTGCGGCGTGGTCCTGGTCAAGCTGAACCAGCATCTCAAGGAGTCCGGGAAGTACAGGTGCCGAGTGAACAACAAATGCGCAGACACAAGCTCCAGGAGGCCCGAGCAGGCGTCTCGACTCGGCGCTTTGTGCGCAGGGGCGGCGCCAGAGGTGCCGCCGGGTGGGTCCAGCGCCAACCCAGGACATTGCCGTGGTTTCGCCACGTTGCCCACCTTGGACGCCTCGTCGGCGCCCCGTGCCCCGGCTGGGCCCGCCGAGGTTTCAGCACGCTGCCGCCCGTGGGCGCCTCGTGGGTGCCCCGTGCGCTGGTAGGGCCCGCCGAGGTTTCGCCCACGCTGCCGCCCGCGTCCCCGCGGGCGCCCCGCGCTGGCAGGGTCCGCCTCGCAGCGTTGCCGCCCCGTGGGCGCCTCGTGGGGGCCCCCCCTGCGCTGGGTGGGTCCGCCGAGGTTTCGTCACGCTGCCGCCCGTGGGCGCCTCGTGGGCGCGCGGTGCGCTCATCACATGGCCCGCGCCACGTGTACGGCACCGCGCAGCTGACACCTCTCAGCTCTGACCACACGGAGTGTACCACGTGGCCTGCGCCGCACAGCTCCTACATCGTAGCCCACCCACATAGATCGCACCGCACAGCTGACGCTACTACGCCAACATCTCTATCAGCCCTCGGGTGGCAGCGAGAACGGTCATAGGAGAGAGAGAGAGAGAGATAGACATAATGTGTGCCAACTCACAGCACAAGGCTCCAATGGCAGGCCAGACCCAAGGATCAGGTACCCACCCCTGTCCGCTGCTGTCTGCTGTTCGCGCTTCCCCACTCTCTCCCCTCCTCGCTCCTCCCACCTGGATTGCTGCTGTGTGTTTAACATTATATAAGTGCCCGTTTGGGCCGCAGAGAATCGTCGCACAGCGCCCTTGCTCTTCCTCCTCCCCCGCCTCCTCCTCTTCCTCCGCAGCGCGAGCTCAGATTGTACCCATTCGCAGGCATGGGCGCGAAGATACATGCCAGGCGGACGGGCCCGAGTGACATTGATGTGGTTGGTGTTCTTACGTGAAACTAAACAGAGCTTACGCCGCCAAGCCCACACCATACCGATTGCGCTGCAAATGTTCTGCTGTCAGCAGATAGAGGCAGTCCACCACCCTCCCCTCAGGGTTGTCGCTACACCCTGGGACGCTGCAAGCTACACGTGATTCTGCCCCATCGCTCATTTGAGCGTCTGGGATATACCGTTTCAGCGAGGCCAGTACCGACACCCCCCTCATTCCCGTCAAATCATACTATGCGCGCGCATTCGTTTATCTCAAAACCAGGCATTCCATAGCCCTCGCGGACATGACACAATGTATACTCGCGCACACGTGTCGAACTCATACCAAACGCACCCGTCTGGTAAAAGTACCAGCACACGCGCATCAAACACTCTCAGGTGTTTTCATCACAACAATTCTTGCAGGTTTTCTGCCCGTGCACCTTCGCTGAAGCCGTACCGGCCACGCGCGCGTCGCAACGCGCGCGTGCCCAAATCCTTCCAGCACCACTGGGTTTCGAAACGTTTCAAGATAGAGCTCTTCAAACACGTGAAGCGCATTAGGTATTGAACAAAGGGGTTCGCCAGGTTTTTAACATCTTCATGTGCGCACGTCTTCGCCATCACCCTTATAGGCGCCATCGCATCACAGCCGTAATTGTGATTGCCAATCGCGGCCACTGCCGCCATCATCAATCAAGCACCTTCATAGCGTAAACACGGGCATCGTCCTCGTCATTGTCGTCGCCAGCATCGGTGCCGTCATTGGCCTTGCCGTCGTCATCGTCATCATCATCATCATCGCCATCACCATCGCTACTGTCATCATCATCGTTGCCGCCGATGTCGATGTCATCATGATGCCGCGACCGCCCGAGCCACCGACCCACACTGAAGAGCCCGCGCGCCAGCGCTGCCTCGGAAGGGCGCTGGGAAGTTTCCACCGACAAGCGCCATCGCGGCCGCATCACGTGTGCCAATCCAGTTGGTTGCTCTGCGCGCGAGCCCGCACCTGCCAGCGCGGCCGCAGAGATGCGCAGGCCAGTACCACGCACATCCGTTCTCGTGGCCGCGTTGGTGTTGCACGCAACAGGTTGCGGGCGGGAGGGCGGGGTATTTGTGGGAGCAGTGGAGTTGGCTACTCGCTCTTTACCAGGCGAAATTTGGCCATTTAGATTGCACCGCATAGCTTGCACAACATAGCTCACACTACTTAGGTTCCCCTTTCAAGTCAAAACAATAACAAGTTCTACCAGTCGCCCCCCCCCAACACACCGCTGGAACACTGCACTTTGCACATGGTTCTGCCTCACCGCTCGCTCTTCACATGAATTCACACCATCTCAGCCAGGCTTGATGTCTCCCCCTCACCCCTGTCAAGCAGTACTATGCTGCACATTCGTCTACCTCAACGGTAATTACTCGATAACACCTTGCAACAAATGGCGCAACGCCCACACGCGCTAGCTCATGTTGATATCAAGAACCCCCCCTTGCATGTCGCTCAGCACACCTGCATCACACACAGTTAGGCGTTGCATCACAACTCCTGCAGATTTTTTCTGCCCGCGCGCACTTGCCGACATCGTAGGACGACCATACGGTAGAGGGAAACAATTACTGAACACTCCCCCTCCCCCCGAACGCAATGTTGGCACGCGCGGGGGAGACTGTGGTCGAAGTGCATCTCATCAGACCCACCGCCAACTTTGAACATTGGGGTGGGGGGAGGCGTTGACGGATGAATGTAACATGTGTTCGCTAATTTGTTCCGAGGCCTGTATGGTTTAGCACCTTCGTTCTGAACGTTCAGACTCATCTTTCCGCGCGGTGCGGCCTCTTTGATCCAACATGCGCCCAGTGCCCGAGTCCGTATCGAACCATACCATGCGGGGCACACGCGCACGCCGCCACACGCGCAAGTCCCAATCCTTCCAATGCCATTGGGTCCGGAGCATTTTAAGATATATCGAGCACTTCAAGCACACGTGATAGAAGCCATGTGCGTTACCAGAGATGTTGCGCTGCTCCTTGAGTTTTTGCGAGCGAGCGCTTTTCGCCACCATCGCTCGAATTAGTGCAGCCGCATCAGGTCGTCGTCATCGACGATCGCCGCCGTTGCCGCCATCATCGATCACAAATCGTCAAAAACCGACACATGAGCATCACCATCGCCATGATCGTCACCAGCATCGGCGCCGTCATTGGCCTTGCAGTCGTCATCATCGCCACCACCATCGTTATCACCATCATTGTTGCCGCCGATGTCGGCGTCATCATGAGACCGCGCCCGCTCGAATCAGCGACCCGCATTGGATTATCCACGCGCCAGCGCCGCCTCTGAGACGCGTTGGGAAGTTGCCTTCGGTACGCGCCATTGCTGCCATATCGGTCGTGCCAAACCAGCTGGCCGCCCTGCGCGCGAGCTTGCGCGCGCCAGCGCGGCTGCACAGAAGATGCACCAGCCAGGGCCAAGCAGTCACCGCAATCGCGGCCGCATTGGTTTCGCACAGCAGGTTGAGGGTGGGAGGGTGGGGCGACTGCGCGAGCAGTGATTTTGCCAACTCATGAGTTGGCCAAAACACAGTTGCATCATATATGTAGCTTGAACCGCGCAGCGTGCACCACATTGCTCATACCACGCAGATTGTACCACGTATCTTGCGCCACACATGTTGCACTTCAAAACCCACACCGAGTAGGTCACGCCTCTTACTTCCCACTACACAGCCTACATATCCACAGAAGAGTATCTGGTTGTTCGGGCTCCACGCCGGCAAACATGTTTTCGTTGTAAATTCTTGTTCAACCATCATGTGGTGTTGGGTACTCGTTTTAAAAAGACAGCGCCCGCGTCTCACTTACTGCGTTCTCCTCCCCCTCCCCATCCCATCTCCTCATCGTCATCGTCACATGCATCATCACCATCATCATCAGCCTCGCCAGCATCACCATCATCATCATCCTCACCACCATGATCATCATCACCATCTCCATCATCGTCATCGTCATCGTCATCGTCATCGTCATCGTCATCAACATGAGCTTCTTCGTCATCGTTATCATCCTCATCATCATCACCGTCATCATCTTCATTATCTTCGTCCGTTGGCCGCCACGCCGATGTCGGCACACCCCTCACACTGTTCGTGGCCCCACACTCGGCCCCACCGAAGGCCCCAGCGGCAGCAACGGCATGGTGTGGCTCCGCCCATGTCGGCACACCGTTCACGTTTTGTGGGCCTGGGGGCTCCACCGAAGGTCCCAGCGGCAGCGCCTGCATGGCGTCACCCTGCACATGTCGGCACACTCCTCACACTTTCCGTGACCCCACAGGGAGCACCACCGAAAGCCCTTCGGCAGCGCTCGCATGGCGTCACCTTGCCAATTTCGAACTCCTCATACGTCTCGTGACCCAACAAGCCCACAGGGAACCGCACCGAAGGCCCCAGTGACAGCACCCTCACACGTTTCGTGACCCCACATGGCGCCCCACCGAAGGCCCCAGTGGCATCACCCGCACGTCGTCCACCCGCCCTTTTTGGCACCTCCTCGACGCGCGTCGTAGCCCCACAGTGAGCCCAATGGGGGCGAACCAGCGTCGGCGCCCACGTGGCGCCACCCCGCACACGTCGGCACAGCCCTCACACGCTCCGTGGCTCCACGGGAGCCCCACCGAGGGCCCCAGCGGCAGCGCCCGCGCGGCGTCGCCCCGCACACTGTGGCACACCTCTGATACGTTTCGCGACCCCGCCGGGAGCCCCAGAGGTGGCCGCAGTGGCAGCGCCCGCGCGGCGCCACCCCGCCCATTTCGACACATCCGTCACGCGTTTCGTCATCCCACCTTTCTCCGATCTGCTTTCGGTGCTTCCACTCGAGTCTGGTTAGGCCCCTCGTCAGGATATTTGTCTTATCGCTGACGCATCCGAACGTTTCTCATACTGCGGATGCTGTTCTTCCGAGGTGGTCCATCGCCCTGGCCCTCCTCGCGGACGCCGTGCTGTTCGCCATCGCAGACCCCGTTGTGGAGGTCGAGATCGAGGCGCACCTGGAGATGGGCACCTTCTTCGAGAAGTTCGGCGGGCTCCCCACCTTGCAGGATACATTTTCAACCCAATCGATCCGATTCCATTTCGAGATCGCCAGGGCTAGATCCGATTCTATTCCGTCCTTTCAGCGATTTCACGCGGCCCGATGTCTGCATGGCGCTGGTGTGCATCCTGGCGCGGCCAATCCGATTCGATTTCGACTTGGTGCCGATGTAGCCCGATCCGACGCACATTCCGATTCGGCCCGACGTTCCGATTCGACGCTGCTTGATCCTGCCCTGCAGTCGACCTCGCTGCCGCACCCCTACAAGTCGAACCTCGTCTTCCAGTTCCACTGCCTCTACATGACCCTGATGGTACTGTCTTTCAGCTGGTCGCTGAAGGTGATGCCAGTCTGCATGTTGGTGTACTCGACGATCGTCGTCATCTCTTTCCAGAGCCGCTACGACTCCTATGAGGTGGAGGGCTTCGATCCCACGCAGGACAGAGAGGAGGTGTACATAGAGACAGTCTTGATGTGGTGGACTCTGTTGCTCGGCCTGTTCGCCAAGTGGTCTCTGGAACAGGCGCAGCGCCCCCTCTTCCTGGCCCTGGAGTCCGGGAAAGACGAGATCATCCGGGAGAAGGTCAAGCGGTGCAATGCCGAGTACCGGGCCTCGGGCCTCCTGGACAAGATGAACAAGGTCATGCAGCAGGCCTCCTATGCCAAGCTGGAGGACGTGTCCGATGGGTTCCCAGTTTTCCCAGCCCCGCCGGGCGCGTCCTCCTCGGTCCACAGCGCCCCGGTCAGGGCTCACCCGAAGCGGGCGTGCAAGAGTCGTGCCGACAAGGATGAAGGGGAACTGGGACACACAAATAACAACACACAAATAAACATATCCCCCCATATTTCCCCATATTTTCTGGGTTTTTGTCTTCCCCCCCACTTCCCATATTTTCCTATATTTTCCTGGGGGTCGACGATTAATTGTGTCTGTGTGTTCTTTCCCCTCCTGAAAGGACGCGGGCCCCTGCGACTCCGGAGACTGCCTGCCGGCCAGCGCCTCCGTCTGGATCGAGAACCAGGCGATGCCGCAGCGCCTGGGCACCGTGCGGCAGGGCCAGCGCGTGCTGTGCTACGACAACCTCCTGAGGCGGCGACGGCGACGGCGACGGCGATCACCGCCCACCAAACCGCCCCAACCCCAACCCGAAGGCCTCAACTTGACCTCCATTTCCAGTGGGGGGGGGGTCGGGGAACATCGAGAAAACACGTATGGAACCCGTACCCCCCCCCCACCCGAAATTGGGGTCTTCGGGTTGGGTTGGGGTGGTCTGGTAGGTAGTCAGGCGACGGTGACAGTGGCGGCGACGGGGACGGCGACGGCGGCGGCGACGGCGGCGCAGGGGGCTGAAGTACACAGACATCCTGGACGTGAGCGTCGCGGCGGGCTCCGAGTGCACCGACTGGGTGACGGTGCGTCTCAAGGACGGCACGCGGCTGGAGATGACCCCCAACCACCCCGTGGAGTGCTTCTCCACCGCGGACAGGGGCTCCTCGCCCGGGAGGTGCATCCCGGCTGGAGCGGTGCAGGCGGACAGGGACGCCATCATAGTGCTCAAGACCGTTCTTGTGCCCGTCAGCAGCGTCCACAGGAACGCGCCGGATCCCGCGGCCGACGAAGACAGCTCGCGGGAGTGGATCAACCTCATGGTGCAGCACCCTGATCGCCACACCGTCTTCGTCGCGGACGGCTGCGATGCAACACGCGGTGCCATGGCCGTTGGGACGCCCGCCTTCTCCCAGGGTGGCCACCACGGCATATGCGTGAAGCACTCGTTCCTCCAAGTGGAGGAGGACGCCGCCACCAGCGAGAACGTCAGCAGCAGGCGTACGGTCTCCGCCCCAGACCTCGAGCTGACCCAGAACCAGCGCAGGATTCCGAGCACGAGCTCACCGCACGACCTGGAGGACTCGGCGGCGCAACAACAAGAGACGACGGGGCGAGCACCACGTGTGGGTTCCATTCTCTGAGAAGCCCTTGCCTACATCGGCTCTGGCCAGTCCGACCCGATTCATTCCCGATATCCCGACGATCCAGTGCGGCCCGATGCTCGCATGGCACCGTCGCGCATCCCGCATCCTTGCGCGGCCTCCGCTTCGATTTCGACATCGTGCCGATGCGGCCCGATCCGATGCGGATTTTGATTCCATCCGAAGTCTCGATTCGACGCGGACCGAGCCTGCAAGATCGGGCCGGACGAAATGGTAGGATAGGGAAAGGGGGGTTGCAACACCTGCTGCATACAGGTGGCCTCCGCCCCGCCGCCGGGCACATTCCTCCATGCATGGGCGCCTCCTGGCGCCAGGAGGCGCTGGGAACACCAGCCGCGTGGGCTCATGCTCTGCCCTGCCCTTTTGCATCCTACCCTCTCGTCCTCCTCCTCCTCCTCCTCCTCCTCCTCCTCCTCCTCCTCCTCCTCCTCCTCCTCCTCCCTCCTCCTCCTCTCCTCCCCCTCCTCCTCCTCCTTCCCCCTCCTCCTCCTCCTCCTCCTCCTCCTCCTCCTCCTCCTCCTCCTCCTCCTCCCCTTCCTCCTCCTCCTCCCCCTTCCCTCCCCCTCCTCCTCCTCCTCCTCCTCCTCCTCCTCCTCCTCCTCCTCCTCCTCCTCCTCCTCCTCCTCCTCCTCCTCCTCCTCCTCCTCCTCCCCGAGGAGAGGCCCCTCCCTGCCCCCCGGGAAGTGGCCGCCTCCGCCTCCCGCCCCCGCGGAGGACCTCGAGGCGGGCGCCCAGGACGACCCGGAGGACCGGGCCTCGGGCCTCGGCCCGAGAGCGCCGGCGGCCCCCCGGGGTGGCCCGCGGCCGGCCTCGGCCCTCGGGGGAGCGGCCGAGAGCTCGGAGGCTAGCATCGGCGGAGTCACCACCCACCAAACCACCCCAACCCAACCCGAAGGCTCAGATTTGCCCTCGATTTCTAGTGGGGGGGGGTTCGGGAAACATCGAAAAAACACGCGTGGAGCCCTTGCCCCCCCCAACCCGAAATTCGGGTCTTCGGGTTGGGTTGGGGTGGTCTGGTAGGTAGTCACGGAGCGTCCTGGCTCGCCTATATCGGGCTGGGCGAAAGGGGGGGATTGGGAAAGGGGGGGGTACGAAATTTGCTGACTGCAGCCGGTTTCGGCCTCACCGAGGGGCCCATTCCTCGATACATAGCCGCCTCCGGCGCCGGGAGGCGCTGGGAAAATCAGCTACGTGAGCTGATTCTCACCCCCCCCCTTTGCTATCCCCCCCTTTCGCCCGACCCGACTATAGCCCTACCAAACAATGTTCTAAGAACCTTTTGTGGTTTCCACGACATGTTCTCAGAGCATTCCTGGCGGAGTGTGTCTTGCTTTTATCACATCGGGTCTCTGCTCTAAGAACATTGTTCTTGTTCTGAGGACATTTCTGGGTTCGAAGAACGCTTCGTGGCATGACTAGAGGAAGGCCGGGATGGTCGGGTTTGCTCAACGGAGGCAGCATCCTGGGAGGTCAGGTGCTGGCTCTGCCCTGGTCCGAAACCCTGGGCCGCGTGCGTGCCGCCGGCCATGATTTGCGCACCCTCTCTCTTGGACGCCTCCTTCTTGGACGCCCCCGACACCAGGGGATCAAGCGTTTATCGTCATGGTCCATGGTGCGTTGTAAGATTTCCCAGATGTCCAGGGCTTCCAAGATACCCTACTGTCCGACACGGGCTGCAGAGACGAGGGTCGCTAGATAGCTTGGAGCTCCTTGGGCGTATCCTGGTCCAATCGTATCATGAATCATGACGTCTTGTCGTCCAACAGCAGCCACCCCTATCCCAGACATCCGAAGGATTGGTTTTTTAAATATCGGGAGGTTTCTCTTCATTTCGGCCTTCAGGGCCGTTCGCGCGCCCAGGGACCATAAGCAGAAGTCCGGGACACAAACATTTGCCAGGGCAGAGGTCGAGACCGCTGGGGCACCCAGAGATCCAACGTCGTGAGTTTTTCGGCATGAGCCCCCCAGAAGTCCCGACCTTTCTCCCAGGGCCTGCTTTTCAGCCTGAGTAGTGTTGTGACGATTCCGGGATTCCAGAGCGGCCCATAGCCAACACGCAAAGACTTACGACACAGGTGGTGTGATGTTTCCAATGCGTTGGAGGTCTGGTGCCACGGCTTGCAAGTCCTCAACTTTCTTGGGGAGTTCCACTCAGAGAACAAGTTCTGAGAGCATCTAACAAAAACGCTGTACCTCACACTATCTAATCGTATGCTATACTTTGGTATACGATAGTACGATTTTGTTGGTACTAGTTTCTCTCTATCTCTTGCCGATGCTCCATGCCAGGCCGGATTCGGCCTGGGCGCGATCCTACGCGTGGTCGTCGTATGTTTCATTGACCTGGCGCCCGTCTTAGCCATGAAATAAGTCCACCCGCTGATTTGGCCCAGATGGCCCAGGCCCAATCCAGCGTTCATGATACAATGTGGTTGTCATGTTTCTTGCATCAACAAAACAATGTGTTTGCACATCTCGCGCGTGCTCAAGGTAAGACCATTCAACACCAGTGGCTTCCGAAGCATTTCAAGATCAAGCTTCCCCAGACGCATATAGCAAATCCATGAGGTACAATAGCATCATAACGTCTCTGAGTATTTGCGCGTGCTACTGCTCATCAACGTACTTATCAATATGTACACACGAGCTCATTAACGCGGCCTCTTGAGCTGATTTCAGCGAACAAAGTGATGAGATTATCCCCCATTGGACAAGAGGTTAATGTGACGATCTTCTGGGGAATACTTGGCTCTTCGGCGCGATGCTGTTAGAAACAGGCGAACTTTATGATCGCGTTTCGCCATTGCAGTGGACCTTACTAAACTGTACTATGTAATGTTAGGCGATCGACATATTTCACTATAGCAGGTACTCGCTCCGATGAACGTACCACGCGGGTCAGGCCCGTGCCGCCTTCCAATGTATTTTCAGATGTTGGATTGACCCCGAGTCCGTCCTACCCATGTAGTTGGGCACCTCAGCACCCTTGCTACCTATATGCAACTGATTGCGGGCGAGTCGGCGAAGAAACGCAAGGCGCGAAAGAGCTGAATTACAAGCTTCTGAACCGGGTCACAAAATTTCAACGCGGTTCCGATTCGTTCGGCTCCGATACTCTTGGGGGGAGGTCAACACACCAATGGGAATTCGGGATGGATTGCCGACTAATGCGCCGACGTCGCAGCATGATTGGTGGGAGTAGGGGGGGCCCGTGGTGGGACTGCACAACAGAGGGGGCACACAACAAAGCCAACAACATGATCCAGGACGAGGCCCTGGCCCCGATGGAAATTTATGACGCAGTAAATGCAGACATACTCGAGGCCCCAATTTTCTTCTTGGAAACGACTAGTACAGCAGCACAGCCGACCATATCTTCGCAACCGGGGCGGCGCGGGAACACATAATTTCCGGCCGAGTCCTGTGACCATAAGCTCGACGATTACAGATGATACCGGACCGATTCCCAAAAGACCATGAGGTTCAAGGTTCAAGGTTCAAGGTTCAAGTCCTATCAGAATGGCCCGCGAGGGGCAGGACCCGGGGTGAGACCCTCACTCGTCGAACTTCACCTCAGCTGCCCACTCGACGAAAGCAGTAGACAGTGCCCGCCAATTCGCGGAATTGCGAGCCAGGCGCCTCCATTCGCCAAGGGCCCTCTCGGTGCAAAAACGCCGCATGACGTCCTCGAAACGCATCCACTTGCGGGAGGACGGTCGCATAATACGAGCCGCGCCGAGCTCGTTTGCAGCTGTTTGCCACGCTGCGTCCCGCCACTCCGTCACCTTCCATACCCAGGCGCTCGGATCTTTATTTGCTGTTTCCCCCGCCCAACGCCATTTTCTTCTGAAGTGTTTTGGGACCCATTCTTTCACAGCGCAATCGCGTGCAAGACGCCGAGCTTTGCATGTCGCCCTTTGGGTCCACTCGACCCAAGTTTCCTATTCGGCCCTCCCGCAACCCACGATTCGACGCAGCATCGTGTGTTGTGTTTCCCGTAGCCTTCTGAGTTCTTCTGCCCGTGGAGTCCATGATTCTGTCGAACATAGAATGCACTCGGCGACGGTGGTGTCGAATAGGCGCAAGCGCTTCCGGACTGAAAAAGTTCTGTTCAATAACACATTCTTCATTGCCCAGAATTTCCGCCAGCCCACAGCAATGCGATTGGCGATCTCCTCCCCCGTCGGGTGCACCAGTGACAGCGTCGTGCCTAGCAGCTCCATGTTTTCTCCCGGCGGCAGCACTTCTATGGAAAAACCTTCAGCAATGGATATGTGTCCTCGCCGTGCGAAACTGATCTTGTTTGTTTGCACCTTGCACTTCGTGGGGTGCAAAGACAAGCCCCTTGCTTGCAAGGCCGACTTCAGCATCAATATCATTCTCTTCATAGAGACCCAGCTTCTTGCCACTAACGTCTGGTCGTCAGCGAAGGCGATGTGCGTCAAGCGATGGCCCCGGAAGTCGTGCCCCACGTTGGTGCCGTAGCCACGTCTCTTCCACGCCTCGCTTACTTCCGCCAGAGCGCCGTCAAGTACCAAATTAAAGAGAATAGGTGAGAGAGGATCGCCCTGCTTTACCCCCCGGTTCATCTCGAAGTACCGGCTGTCTGCTCCCGCCCACATAGACACGTAGCCTTTCATTCCAAAATATAAACGTCTTAGAGCAGACACAGTCGACGCGTCTACTCGTTGTTGCAAAAGCGCCTGGAACAAAGCAGAATGATGTACTCGGTCGAATGCTTTTTCTACATCAAGTGTTGCAACCCATAGCTCCTCCCCCCATTCCAACGATTTTTCTACGACCATTCTTGCAATGTGTACTGCGTCAGCGCACCCCTGGCCTGGGCGGAAACCAAACTGCTCGTGGGACAACTTAGAACCGATGATGTCGGCGACCCTGTTGTAGAGGACCGTGCTGAAGAGCTTCGCCATAACTGGAATGA